CTTGCTTCATCTTTGGCCTCTTGGGCAGCCTTACCTGGGCAGGTGAGCTGTTGCCATCACTCCAAAATTGATATATCCCACCTACATCCTGTTTCTCTATAGATTTGCGTATATCTGTTGTTGTTGTAACTCTTTCAACTCTTGGTAACTTTATAGACAAGTCCTCCCCATATATCTAGTCCTTGGTTAATTTCAATCTCTTAATAAAAAAATAATTTGTAATATTTAGTGTTTTATTTCTTCCTCTACATTGGATTGGATTGTTTTATCCTTTTTAACATTGTAAGCCACTCAGAGCCTCCCCGTGATGGGGTGGGTGGCAAACAAATTGAATCAATAAATGTTTTTCTTAATGTTCCTGACATTTTGGATTACGTTTTTATGTTGTTGTAAGCCTGACTGACAGTGAGATGGGCAGCACATGAAGTCCATAAGTAAATATTTCTTTGCCAAGAGCATTTCATGAAATGGGGGAGGGGGTGTCCCTACACCATGGGAAATAAAGCTTGGATCCTTATTGGATTGCGGGGGTTTGGGGTCTTCGCAAGGGAAGACCTCTGTGCTCCTGAGGGTTTTTCTGAATCTCCATCCACCAAGCTCAGAGAGCACCCAGTAGTTGTCCTCCTCCTCCTCCTCCTCCTCCTCACCACCACCACTACCACCACCACAAACCCCACTCCCTCCTAGCACTGATGATGTCCCCTAGTTGGGTAATGAAACATCTTCAAGAAAAACACCAAGTTTAGAGAACATCAATTCCTCCTCCTCCTCCTCCTGCTCCTCCTCCTCCTCCTCCTCCTCCTCCTCCTCCTCCTCCTCCTCCTCCTCCTCACCACCACAATCCCACCACCACCACAAACCCCGCTCCCTCCTAGCAGTGACAATGTTTCTTTGCTGGGTCCAGAAAGGCACCAAGCTCAGGGGTGCCACAGTTCAACTCGAGCTAAAATTCTCTTTTATTGGAACTCTTTGTTTTGGAAGAAGTCCAACAGTCAAATTGTTCTTAATAACCAATAAAATATGTTTTAAGAGAGAGGCTAATGACACGCAAAGCAATCAAAGGATCACTCGGTGTAATCTATTTATTTGTTCGATTTCTGTAGGCAGCCAACTCAACCAGTTGACTCTGGGTGCAATTCTAAGGTTATAAAATAATTAAAATTGTAAAAACTTCCTCAGAATAAATAAGTACGAGCAGCAGCTGTGATGATTAATCATTAATTTCTGGAGGGACTTGAAGACTTTAAGCTGTGAACAGCCTGTTGGTTCGGCTCTCCACGACGGTCCCAGTTTCTTAATGTGTCCCCTTGAGAAAATTGATGGCCCATTGAACCCAAATGCCAGGGATCCACGCAATACATCCCATTCAATGAGAACAATTTCCTCAAAGAACATTTTATCGGGATATATCGAATTGGCACGTTCCTGGTGGAAAACCGGCTCTAAGTTCCCGCCAGTTTTGCACCCAATGAAAAGTTAAGCTTTGTCACTTCCTCCGCCCCCCCCCAGAATCTCCAGTCACGTGGTCCAATCAGCATACAGTCCGGTTGCTAGGTGACCTCGGTCTGCACCTTTCGAACACCTGCACCAACGTCCTTGATTCCCAGGGGAAAGAATTTTATTGTGGCTACAGCACCCCAACTATCTCTCCGCTCCCTCCCCGCTCCCTGGTTCCTTCGCTCCAGGCTGTGTCAGCCCTGAAGCCGTGAGAAGAGAAACTTCTCTAGAGAAAAACTACAAAAAGGAAAATGGCCACAGTTCGGCCAACTTCAGGGTTGACGCTGAGAGCCATTTGTCAACTCGTACAGCATTCCTGGCTCGCTCTCCAGTTGCCCTAAGAAGGAGGGGGAGAGATCTGATACGGCAGTTTGGTTGCTATGACCAGAAGCCCATTCCATGCATACCCTTCCCCAGATTGTGTCCAAGGTTACCAGAGCCAGTCCGAGAGGCGTGTTTTCTACAGTCCGGGGAAAGTGCTTCAGTTGGAGAATGTGATTTATGACACACCCTGGGAGGAGGAGGGGGGAAACAAGGTCACAGGTGGGGCAGTAAATGACGTGGGGCAGAGCCTACTGCACTTGGGGAAAGTGCCAACGTGTTGCTCCTAATAAATAATTGGGTTTCTTTCGAAACTTGGCTCGAGGCTCATGAATTAATTAGGGCGTCCGTCGGAACCCTGACACCATTGCCGTGTCCCTCACTTTTGCTCTCATTCTCTTTGTTTCTCATTCTGTTTCTCCAGAAGATCCAAAGCCCCGGACCGTCTGTCCTTCCGGCAGCTTTGCCATGAAAGAGCAAAGCCAGTGGTATTGCTACAAGTTCTACGAAGAGTTGTTCACCTTTCAAGAGGCGGAGGTAACTCCCCTGAGGTGCCTCACCTGAGCAGGATGAATTCCCTTAATCTGGCCCAGAGTTTTTCCAAACTTCACAAGGCCCAAAAGTTCGTGTCATTTTTTAAATGAAGAGCACCTGCTGCATGACTCTCCCTTAAAAATAAGGATAGAAGTCTGAAAGAAATGAAAGATTTTATTAATTAGGTTGAATTCTCTTCCATTTAGTACTTTGAAAATAAATCTGAATGGGTTGACAAAGGAAGTAAAACTCGAATGAGATATCCAACTGCTTCATTTAAATGAGATTGGGTACTATGTGATTCAACATGTTGTACAACTCAGCTATTGCCTTATCCATGTTGTGGAAACAAGGCCAACAATCACAGGGTTAACAGGTGTCCCCCCTTAGCAATCATTCACAGGGGTGGGATTCTACCAGTTGGCACCTATTCACCAGAACCGGCTGTTAACATTCTAAGCAGTTGGGAGAACCAGTTGTTGGAAGAAATTACAGGGCTAATCCTGTAAGGAAGGCAGGAAGGAAACATTCTGGTGTTGCTTACAGAAACAGCCTCTCCGTTAATCCTTATTACATTCTTGGCAGGACTAGACTTCCTGTCTCAGGAACTTCTCTGGAGTTTTTTTCCCCCTCCTTTGCTGGTACTTTGCTTGTGTGGAGGGACCATTCAAAGTTACAATGGCACTGAAAAAAGTGACTTATGACCATTTTTCACACTTACCACTGTTGCAGCATCCCCACAGTGATGAGAGGTCAGGCAAGGAGATGCGTGCCTCGATGTGAGTGATATTGAGTTGGCCACACCCAGCCAGTCACATGACCACCAAGCCATGCCCATCAACTAAGCCACACCCACAGAACCGGTTGTTAAAACATTTGAATCCCACCCCTGATCATTCACAGTTATGACAGTGGTGGAAAGGTATCTTTAGGGCCAATCCTCACATTTATGACAGTTGCCATTTACTTAGCAATTGTTTGGCTAAATGACTGAATTGCCAGCCCCAGTTGTGGTTGTTAAATGAGGGCCTTCGAAAATTCAAGCCACGTTGCTTCAGAGCGACCCCTTGTCTCTCAGAGTGTCCCTTTATTTCCACACACAAACACGCACCTCCTTCCCTCTTCTCTCTTCCCCCACCTTGTTTTCATGTCCCAGTTTTTTACGGATATCCCACTTTTGACACCACTTTCACGCCTCACTCATAAGCACGAGAGTCATTTTCCCCAATATATATTTTTTTCTTTATTTTTCCTTGTTGGACAACAAAGTCATGCTTCCATTTGCAGCCCTTCTTAAGGGAACTCCTCCGTTAGGAATAGTAGCCGAAGGCCAAATACGGCTTTTTAGGCTCCTGCTTTGGCCTGCATATCTTCCAATCAGAGAAACCGAGAAAGAGAGATAATTTAATTGAAATTTATTCAGAATATTCTGCTAAAAGAGAGTTTTTTTCAATGAAAGAGGGAGCCGTACATTCCCTTTTATAGTGAAAACGTCAAAGAAAATGTAAGAGAATAAAAGTGATTGGCTAGGACAAAAGTTACGTTCCCTTTGCATAGGACATCAGTTACCTGTAGTCAAACATGTTACATATTTGCATCCCATAATATCACATGTATTTATTAAAATGAAGTGTAGTGACAGAAGGGGTGTATCTTTTAGGATGTTAATAAGGAAATAAGGCTGCTTGGAGTTTGTGAAGGGACAGGGCCCATTAGCCCTAACAAAGATTTCTCTCATCAGGAGACATTGTCCAAATATTCCGTCTTCTAACTTAGCTTTTCAGCTTAGAAAGGCTAGAAGCTATCAATCCATACAGCGACAGGATAAATTTTTTTCCTATATCCCAGGCTGTAATCTATATATATAAAAGCGAAATTACCCCTTACGCATCATCACAAAATCTCCAGAACCGTAAAGCCTACAAACTTGAAGTTTGGCCCGTAGGTTCCTCTTGGCTTCTAGGGGCTCACTAAGGAAGGATTTTTCGAAAGGACCATCAGAGCATTTAGAGTATTTCCTATATTATTATTATTATTATTATTAACATGCTCTGATGCTAAGGAGTTCTACTCCCCCTCCCCACCTGGAAAGAAATCTCTTCCAAATGCAAAACACAAGCAGAGGAGTTTCAGTTTCAGTTTCAGAGCACCAAGCAGCTTTAGTACAGAACAGTTGAGCTAAGCCACACCCAGGCTCCTTGTTGTCTCCTTCTTGCTCACACAGCAAATACTGTTTCAGTTTCCAAACAGCCCTCAACTCTCTCACACACTGACAGGACGCTAGCCAGAGGAATACCGATGGATGCTGGTAGGCAGAGGAACAATTTCTCCCCTTATTTTCCTCCCCCAAAACTAAACATAGTTTCGTAGTGAAGCACAGGTATAGAGCTCGTGGTTTGATAAACCCTTATCCCACCATTTTAAAAAGAAAGGAAAAATAGATGAAAATACCACATGCTTTGCTGCTAAACAGGTAGAACACTATTACAAAAGTCCATATCGTGTGGCCCTCAGTTGAGAGGATTTGGTCTAACCAAACTGCAAGGCCGTCCAGATTGGTAGGCCCGGATGGTAGCAGCTCTGCAATGGCCATCGTGGTTTGTCAGTGGCAAATAATCAGCCACTGTCAAGGAACACATCTGAAGGCACCTCTTTTCTCTTCAGAGGGCATTTTGACTTCTTCTCTCTTTGCAGGAAGAGTGTCAGTTCAAATGCAAAGGTCATTTAGCCTCTTTCATGAGTGACAACCAGGCAAAATACATCAATGCCTACGTCTCCAAGGAAAACCTAGAAAATAAGTGGGTCTGGATTGGGCTCCAACGAGTTTCAACATCCAATCTGGTGAGTACTCGGTCCTCCTGTCTCTGAGCAAGTCGCAGATGTTTCCATACGGATATTTCTTGAGTAGTGGTTTACGTCGTCCTCGAACAGCCCATCAACCACCTTCCGTCTCCATTCCCTGATGTCAGTTTGGACACAACACCAGCCCATCGCTGCTCCTGACCCGAGGGGACGCAAGGACAAAGGACCCCAAAGCCAGCAGCCCAATTCCCCTTCAGGTCACAAAGAAGCAGATCTATAGTCAGGGAGGGATTTCTCCCTGCAGGATCCTTTTTAATAGCTAATAGGATCTACATCGGCTCAGTGTTTTTTGGTATGAAAACCACGTTTTCTACCAGGGAAGTAGGAAGAGTAGGAGGAAGGGGCGGGGTTGGAAGCTGAAACGGATAGAAACATGGTCAGGAAACACCTTCAGGTCCTCAGGTTTTAGTTGATGATTGGGAGGAACTTTTGTGAATTGTCCTTGAGAAATCCTGGAGACGGGTGGAAGTGCCAGTTGGCTCGGAGGAGGAGAAAATACGCCCCTGTCTTCAAGGGGGGGGAGGCAAAAATGCAGCTGTAGACAGTCTGATATTGATACCTGGGGAGATTCTTG